GCGCTCGGATCCCGCCACTATTGAAGGCATCAAAAAGAGGAAGCCCCAGAAAACATTTCAGAGCTGCGCTCGTTCCCTGGGCTCGTTAGTCATCACAGCGCTTTTCCACCAACCCTTCATCGAACCAGAGGTCCGCTGAACCACCTACTGACAAAAGACAAGGGTTGGAAATGGACGAAGGAGTGCCAGCAGTCTTTTGATGCAGTCAAAGCAACCCTCACTTCTGATCTACTCTTGACACACTTCAATCCGGATGCTCCCAATTATGGTGTCAGTGCAGTTATCTCCCATGTTTTTATGCATGGAGAAGTGAAGGCTATCGCGCACGTTGCACGGTCACTAACGGCAGCTGAAAAGAACTATAGTCAGATAGAGAAGGAAGCGCTCGCGATCGTTTTCGCAATGAAATGGTTCCGTAAGATGCTTCATGGCAAACATTTCAGACTCCTGACTGACCACAAGCCACTTCTGTAGATATTCGGGTTAAAGAAAGGAATTCCAGTTTTTAGGGAAAACCGATTGCAACGGTGGGCGACCATACTACTGGCCTACGACTTCAGTATACAGTATAAACCGACGCAACTAACCGGTCAATCGGATGCCCTGTCTGGTCTCATCAAGTCACACCCCAAGGAGAACGAAGATTGTGATTGCAGCTATCAGGCTCGAATCAGAAGTCCAACGAATCATGCCTGATAATGCGAGAAGACTACCTGTAACAGCCGACACCATTCGTACGGAGACATCACGGGCAGAACCTTGAAGAAAGCGATGTAGTGTGTACGAACCTGTTGGCCAAATGGAGGCATACATATGGAGTTGCGGCCTTTATACAATCGACGTGGATCCCTGTCAGTCGTGCACAATTGTTTGATGTTTGGAGATCGAGTGGTGGTGCCAAGGAAATTGCAGAGACAAATATTGCAGCAGTTCCACACAGGGCACCATGGTACCAGTCGCATGAAAGCCTTGGCACGCAGTTTTGTTTCCTGGCCAAAAATGGATACGGAAATTGAAAAATTTTGCCAACAGTGTGAATCTTGTCAACTTGCAGCGAAGGCCCCTCCCAAGTGTCAGTGACAACCTTGGCCTAAAGCAGAGAAACCGTGGCAACGAATACACTTAGACTATGCAGGACCAATCAATGGCCAATCCTATCTCGTTTTGGTTGACTCATTCACCAAGTGGCCTGATGTGATTCCGGTAAACAATCCGACTGCCCAGCACACTGTCAACGAGCTGGAGAAGATGTTCCGATATTTTGGCCTGCCAGAGGTGCTAGTGACAGACAATGGAACACAATTTACCTCGAGTTCTTTTCGCGAGTGGTGCAAGGAAAAGGGAATTCAGCAGATGTTCGCACCACCATACCATCCGCAATCAAACGGACAGGCAGGATGGCTCGTGGATATGTTCAAACGTGCACTCCGTAAAGCAGGGCAAAGAAAGGAGTTCACAAGACGTAATTCAATCTTTCCTATGCGTATATCGGAACGTTTCAAACCCAAACTCCCCTGATGGGAAATCCCCCACAGAAATACTATTTGGAGGAAAGATCCGGACATTGTTCGATAATATTTTATCCAGGAGAATAGAAAAGCACATCAGTAGTCCCCTGGAGTAAGATCGCAAAGTCAGGCTCCGTAACTTCAATGTTGGTGACAGGGTTTACGCCTGGAATTTTCGAAGACCGAAGAGGTGGTAGGACGGAACTGTTATCGGCAGGAAGGGCAGAGTTATCTATGAGATGATAGTCGGACATGAGAGGTGGATTAGGCACATCAATCAGTTGAGAACAAACCATGGCAAAACCCAAGATCCCCACGAACCACCAGCTTTGCATTGGGACATTCTACTAGACACATTCGGGCTGGAAGTTGAGGGTTAGCAACCCGGTGAGACAAAAGAAATGCTGCAAACATCTGATGCACAACGTAGGCCGGCTCAAAATTGGAGAACACAATGGCTGCAAATCGATCCTCGGGGCGAAAAGCTACGAAGAAAATCGGGTTCGACGGGTTTGCAAGCTGACTCAATTCGGAAAGGAATGTGACAGGTGGGCGAGAAAGCTGATTGCTAACGTGCGCGTTTTCGGCACCAATCGTGTTTGGGGAGGATCCTGAGAGCGTGTTGCCAGGGCCCAGCCGAAAGCTGATGAAATCGCGCATCCTACATCATGCGTGTTCCCAAGGTCTGACCGGAAGCCGACGAAATCGTGCGTCACACATCATGTACGTTGTCATGCCCCGAGTAGGCGGATGAAGACTGGCGTGCGCAAGCAAGACGGTGAACTGGCCAGACGGTGCGGACAGTCAAGTGTGGAGCGTGGGGCGTACGAAGAAGACTGGTAGCCGAATCCGCCAGGCGTTGTTTAGAGGATTGGTGAGACCGATCTATAAATATGAGCGTTCTCGGTTCTAATACAACCCTCTGGTCGGCTGAGTCTGCTTCTGTTCTCCGTCCTGTCGGGTTGGCCAAGGCGTCAAGCAGAGCAGGCGTAAGGGTGCAGATTTACCAGCAGGCGTGAACCAACCGGTCGATTGCGGGAACAGCGTTATAACAATCTGTCGACTTGATGGGTCATGTTCCGCAACCGTACGAATGGTTAAAGCGACGGCCACGTTGTAAACTCTGTCTTTCAGGGCGAGAGTAATGTCGCGCCGGCGCCACAGGTGGCGGAGATTGGCATTAACGCCTAGAGCTTTTGCAATGCGGTTCGTGATTTCAACTTCCACTCCACTGGTGCTGATATAGTTGTCTAGATACTTAATGACTTCTAGCTGATCCCCACCAAGAGTCAGCGCAGAGGTGGGTCCCTGCGAATCTGGGAGAATGACTTTGCATTTCGAGGGAGTAAAGCAAAGCCGAAAACAATTGACAGCCAATGCTGCTAGTCTGCCCAGTGCTACTTGGCACGTTTGCGTGCTGTCGCAGATTAGGGCAAGTCAAAAAGTCGATCGCCAGGAAACAGTTCCACAACTTGTAGCTCATGCCCAGTGATCGCAGTCTCAATGAATACGTTGATGATGGAGTTAAAAAAAGAGAAGAATGACAGCGGGGATCCCCGCATCACGTCATTGGAGGTATTGAAGAGCAGTAGAAGTCATCACTAGAAGCCATCATCATCATCATCACTAGAAGCCATCACTATGCCCGAACTACGCGTGTACAGCGCCTTTGTGACATTCAAATAATTTCGGGCACACCTTTCTTGACTGAAGTTCCAAAGGTCACATCAATTCATCGAATCGAAGGCACCTTTGATATGGAGGAACACGAGTATGATGGGGCCCCAATAAATACAGGAGTGTTCCAACAACTGGAATAATGTGAAGATGTGATCAATTCTTGTTCATCACGATGTGGATGTCATTCACTCAGTGTAGAACGACAACAGCAAGTAAAAGGGGTGATGAAGATCAGACGGACACCTACATTACCACCGAATTCGGAAATTGAACGCTATAGCGGGGCACAGTTTGCGAGAGCAATTCGCGCGTCGATTAGACTTACCTGTGAGTGAAGCATGGTGCGTCGTGTCACCGAACTAGGCCGAATTGGTTACTGACGCCCAATGCAGAAGAGGGAATGACGAATCTGTTACCGATCGACGGCTACGTTGATACACACACTCACTCTAACTCCGAAACTGGAGAGTCAAGAGAATTTATTTCGCATCTAACCATTAGCCAATCTGGTATGAATGGATCTGAGGGTGCAAACAGCACCATCCGGCACTGCTCAATCGATTGTTGGGGCACGAAAACCATTGCACCGCGTTAAGGTCTAGTCTCGTCGCAATACCACCCGTTTGATACCGTTATACGATCATGACGGAGAGCCGGAGCGCGCGCAGCGGATTCGGCCGCTATCAGATTCACGTTATGGAAGGACTTGTAGCAAAAGCAAATAATCATAGGCCTATTTGAAGATGAATAATAAATATGAGCAAATGGAAGAGTGAGGGGCTAGAAGCAAAAATCCTAGGGTAAATGTACCGAGGACCTAAGTAGCGATTGTTATTCTGAAGCACTAGTGAATGGATTGCGACGCGCAATCTCAATGTCGACCGCGATTCCCATTGGAGTGAATCTTGGTTACTTCGGCCACTAGGACTGTAGCCGAAGCAGATGGGAACTGAGTGGTACCCGGCCGAAAACATTGGAATCCACGACCGGTTCCGATTCGATGTGATCTCATCAGGTAAAGATAGTAGCAGGCCTCGAACCCAGGGCTTTGGGATGTCGGCAGAGACCTCTACCCATAAACCACGGAGTCGCAGAAGGTAATGCTTATTACAATGGTTAACGTCTGAATGGAGGGGTTATTTTGAAGAGCACGTTGTGTGAGTGTGTGTGGGTGGGTGATTTGCGACGCGCAATCTCGAACAGGATAGCGATTGAGTCCGAAGTGAACTTCTACCGATTTGGTCACTGGGGCTACATCTGAGGTCATTGCGCGTGCAACAATAAGATCAAAGTTGCTTTGCACAAATGGCGAAAAAGACCCGTAAAGAGGAAAACGCTGCAGTAAGGCATGTTTGTTGTATGGAACAGAAGCGAGACCACGTCACTGATAATCTCTGGGCTCTCCTCGTATCCAAGGAGCATACTGGACGTAATACTGTCATGCCTTTTGACGGATCAAAATTTCGTGAAATGGTCAATCCATTTAACCATATTAAGTTCCGTCAACTTCTTAGGAAGTACTGTTTTACACCAACCATCCTGTAATAGGTTCACTTGTTATCCTTGTCAGTGATTTGTGCGCATGTGTTACGGTTGAGGATTCATCATATGTGGGTACTTAAATCACATTCTGCACTTGACTTGTCTTAGTATCTGGACAGAATTCAACGAGACAGCGCCACAATGATCAGGGAGACCACGCAAATAACAGAAGACGTGAGCAAAAGGTAGTTGGAGTTCGAGAACAAGGAAGCGAGAGGTGATAGAAGTTGGGCACGAAATTCAACACGCTGACGTCTAAAGATGACTTACCTGATCAGAGGTTTTGTTGCTAAGCGGTGACACCGGTGGCTTTGTGTCATCAGAAGGTACAGTGCTCGTAGTGTAAGCATCTTGAACTGGTGAGACATTGCAGTCAACCGTCGCTGTCACCCGAATTGCTGCAACGGGAGAGTAAGACACACACACACATGGGTGGATTAAAAAGAACAAGGAAACATAGGTATGTAATCGATTTGTCACAAATACCATTGGTAAGTGAGAAGCCGTGTGTGAGTTAGTCAAGTGAATAGGAGTATGTGCACAGTTTTGCGACACATCAATGATGCACAAACAAAGCGATGCACATGATCAGTAAAGTGGCGGCATCACCGATAACAGTGGAGACAATCCCACTGAATGCATATATGTGATCCAGTGACCAATACACTTAGACGCGAAGTGGTGCATTGACTGCCCAGGCGAATTAGCGGCGTAGGCATCGAGAAATCAGGTTGTTTGTCAACAGTTTAAGTTCCGCATACATTTGGGCAAGAGAAACTGTTCGTTCTATAAGCACATTCGAATGAACGAGCGGTTGGCGTGTATCTCTCTCAAGGTGCAACAAAACCAGAACAACAAGACCAAACCAAAATCAACCTCACGACGAGAAGGGCGAAGCGAGTTCCTGGAAGAGATAACTAGTGCGAATCATTGGGGGATATGCTCTGTACGACCTGGAAACTGCTTAGAGACAAACCGCAAGTAGTTCATTTAGTGTGGTATATGCAACAGATATGATACATCTCAAAGCTATAAGAACAGATGTTTCGAACAGAAATGATATGCAAAGGCGGAGTACAGCACTGATCGCCGAATACAGAGTATTCCCGTGTTAGCCCCGAAGAGAGCTAGGAAAGATAAGGTGTTGCAGATGTGATTATCTTTTCTAATGCTACAATGTCTGAGATCAACACTATATATAGGAAGCTATAACGTTTAGAAATGTCTTGTGAAGAGGGATGCAACTCAAGACAAAATGTAACCTGATGGTAGCAGCTGGCTTGAAAGTAAAAAGAAGCAAAACCCGTGTGTTGCAGAAAGTGGGACGTCAATGAAGTGATTGTAGCCATCTTCCAACTTATAGCCAGAGTAGAGGGAAAGGTCAGAGCGAGAGATATGAGCGAAGTGAGAGAAAAAAACGCGTGAAAGCCGTTTCGATGAAATGGCCACGCCTCTTCACGAGTATTGTATCCCTGAAAGCATATTGTAAAAGTTTATAACTCAGAGAGAAGATAACTAATAAAATTCAGAAAATACAAAGCGCGAACGTTCCGCTACTTCGCTTGTTTAAATCAAAAGGTGAAATCGTAATACATGATCGTGTTGCACACTAGCTGTGTTCCTCGATTTCAAGAGTGCGTTCGATTCAGTCGATCGATCGATTCTGTTCGAATTACTTGCGCGAAAAGGTGTTCCCACAAAATATGTGAACATCCTTCGTGCTCTATACTCCAACACTACAGGCCGCGTCAGGGTCTATGGTGCCCCATCGGATAGCTTTTGACTACAAGTGACGTTCGTCAGGGTTGTCCGATTTCCCCATTTTTGTTCAATTTCGTCGTGGATTCTATCATGGAGTGTTCCCTTACGGAATCTCATGATGTAGGCGTTGAAGTGCTGCCTGGTGAAAGGTTAGTTGATCTAGATTATGCGGACGATATCGTCTTGCTTTTCGACAATGTTGAGGTGGCACAGTCAACCTTGAATAGCCTATCCAGAGTGGTTCCATTATTTGGTATGCACTTCGCACCTTCAAAGTGCAAAGTGTTGCTGCAGGACCACCAGCCACTTGATGGACCCTTGACGCTTGCTAACGAGGAACTCGAGGTGGTTGATCATTTCACTTATCTTGGCAGCTGCATCAGCAATGATGGGCGCATAGAAACTGACGTCAGCTCACACAATGCAAAGGCCAGAGCTGCCTTCTTGAACCTGCGTCATCTTTGGCGACAGAAGGGAGTTTCTCTCCGTCTGAAAGGCCGTGTATACAAGGCCACAGTGAGGGCCGTTCTGCTTTATGGTAGCGAAACTTGGCCCCTTCGGTCTGAAGATCTGAGGCGCCTTCAAGTCTTTGATCATCGTTGTTTGCGAAGCATTGCTGGCGTCGGATGGCACCAGCGTGTCCGCAACGATGATGTGCGTAAGCGAGTACTAGGTGGTGATAATCATGCTAGCTCCCTAGAACAACAGATAGCACTGAATAAGTTGCGTTGGCTCGGGCACGTGCTACGCATGCCTGGTCACCGCTTACCTAGGAGGGCCTTGTTTAGTCTGCCAGGTGTAGGGTTGTGCAAGGATCGAGGTGGACAGAAGTTGACTTGGCAGCGGGAAATGAAGTCACCGACTGGATGTCACCAAACTGGGTGCCGTTGGTCCGGCCCGTCTTCCGGGCTGGAGTCCACGTGACTCACCTTGTGCTTGGCTTGAGACTTTACAGGACATGGCTCGCAACCGACACCAGTGGCGCGTCTGTTGCCGTCTCCTAATCGGATTGCCTGTTTAAAGTGTGTTTGGTGCTGAGTTATCTGCGGGGTAATGGCTGATTATGACGCGTGGCAGTGAAAGCCGCAAGGAAGCTGTCTCGCCGATGCCGCCTTATCTTTGCACGATAGCCAGCTGTTTGTGACGGAATGTTGTCAGCACAAGGTGTAGGCGCCTTGGTCCTGAATGTTTGCTTAGGGCATTAAGGTTTGCAGGCAAGTCCCCCTTCTCTCCCTCTTCTTATTCTTTATGTCATAGGTGCTCATGGTTGTATGGCAGCGAAGCATCAGTCCAAATGGCTGATGTAATGCTGTTGATGATGATGATGGTGCACACATTAAAGTGAGAACGGTGCAATCACATAAACAAGGAGAGGAAGGGAACTGGTACTTGGGATGTAGACGACCGTAGGCAAAAAAGTGGAGAAACAGTTTATGATAAATTTCATTTGGTCACTCCAACCCGGGCTTCAGCGTAGTACAAATAATGGGCAGATAAGGATCCATTCGAGATTCCCTTCACTTCTAACAGAAATTGACTAGTGAGAAAGGAATGCCATCAGAATGCAAATAGGTGCCCTCGGTGGCAGGATGATATGAGGTACAGAATAGAGGTAACAAAGCAGACAAAAGATTCTCAGAGCACCTAACGATCTGTGTACCAGTAGTGACAAACCGAAAGGTTTATGGGTGCAGGTTGCAAAGGGATCAAGGGTGATCGATTGATCGCCGTTAATCCAGGGTCAGTTCGCAGGTGGCAAAATACTGTCTCTGTTCATAGCGCGGCTCAAAGTGACAAGCAAGAAGAAAGTATTAAACAAAGAAAAATACGAAACGATAAGGAGATATTTAGGCAAAACGTAAAGAATACAGTGAGTTCCCAAAGAGGAATGTGTGTGTGTGTGTGTGTGTGAAGCGTCACAAGCTTTCAAGAGTAACCTGGGAATGAGACTGCTTTGTGCGTATAATTTATATTGAAAAACTAACCTGCATCATCCGATTGTCCTGATGGAGGTCTGGTAGATTTGTTTTTAGGGAACTCATAACAGCGATCTTGAAGAGTTGGACAAGTAACGGGGTTAGGATCAGTGGAAGTGTCTTTCAGTACACTGCTCCACAGTTCAAATAAGGCGTCCGTAGTCATCGGTGAAGGAGGAGGAGGTTCAGTTGGGTCACTGAGCAAAACCAAAGGTGAAAAAAGTGCCCAATGAAGAGCCAAATACAGGGCACAAAGCGAGGAACGGACAGGTGAACTTCAAACGCGGTAATCGTAGGGTTCAAGAGGCAGATGCAGACGACGATGATAGGTCAACCTAACGCATCGATGATATTTCGACTGCATTTCAATAGGCGAACACAACAGTATTAATGAAAGATGTGGAAAAGTAGATCTAGTCCCAAATCGGAATTAAGGAACGAATTAGTGCGCAATTGTAGCGATGACAATAAAAAGTAAGTGGAGGTGAAAAGGAAAGTCCGGTTTAAACCATGAAAATCATCCAACAGATGAACCGGCAACTGGAGCAACACTGTGTATGCAAAAGTACCGCCATCAATTCGCTTGTTACGGTATGCGCTAGGATGAACAATTTGGTAGTAAACATCTCGTCCCAACTAGTACTTTCACATGAGTTAAACAAATAAAGAAATGAATATAGTTAATATCTGAAGGACAGGAGACATGCCTAAACAGGCGTGATCAATTAAGTACAGAATTTCCGGTGATAGAGTTTCGCGTATTAATCTACTGATCAGATAATAGTGGTAATGTGTGGGTGACCAGATTGAATAGGTGTCTTGCAGATGAAATCGTTGCTCTGGGGGTAGGCCCCGTCCCCTTCACTTCCATGACTATGCTATATCGCAGTTAGATATTAGTCATGACAGTTTGCCGCTGTCACTGGTGACTCAATCGCCTAAGTCACTGGCTCGAATCTGGCAGTATTCAGCGGGTGCGGGCTACTGAAGAGTCCCAACAGAACGAAACCGAGGCCTAACGCATTGCTGGATATGTGGTAGCTGTCTACCTGAGTAGTTGTGACGAAGATTCACAAAAACCCCAATAAATCCCCCTATTATTCACTAAAGTTCGATGAAGAGTGAATGGAATAGTCGGGAAATATTACCAGAGTCAGTTAGGATTGGAGGGACAGAATTGTAACGGAACGTATGTGCTTGAAAAACAGAATTGAACTGCCCCTAATCAACGGGGGTCTTAGCAACATGTTTGTTGATGGGTTGGTGAGGAAGCACAATCATCATCTGATTGGCCGGCTAAATTGTTGCATGTTGTAGGGGTGAGACAACATGGCAAAATCGTGTCTAAATCTGAGACATGTCACAGTAAGAGATTAAAGATCGTACTATAGTGAGGGAATAGTCCGCCATCCAGCTCGGGAGAATGCAAATGGCAAGGATAGATCCAATGAGTACAGACTGAAGGTCTTGGACTGATGACGACAACTCTAAAGACAGCGAAACGTTTGTAACCAAACTGTCCAGTTCGGCAACGCAACAGTAGCTGCGCAACCCACTCGAGATACCAGTACTGCGTCTAAACCCTAACTTATCAGAAACTCGCCTGCCTGGCTTCGCGAAGCCAGAACACTGGTCATGTGCTGCAACTCATTTGCGCCGTGGACAAATAACGCACAATCGTCGGCAAATAGTAACTTCCGTATGGCTGTCTCACATACCATAGTTCTCACCCCAAAACAACGGATGTTCAACAACCCACTATCAATACGGTGTTCTATACGGACACCGTAATCGCAAGCAGCATCGAGCACAAGACATTGCAATAAGGTAAATATTAAACAGAGTAGTGGCTAAGACACAGCCTTGCTACACACCAGAGACAAACGTAAAGTTATCCGAGGTTTGTCCACACAGCTGCACCCTCGCCCGCATCCCACAGTGCAGACATTCAAGTAAACATACCAACGTACAAAAACAACTAAATCTACACAACCCCAGCCGCAGTGCCTAACGGTTCACTGTGTCAAATGCCATGGCGAAGTCAACAAATCGCGAGTACAATGACCGGTGTTGCTTTCGTCAGTGTGCTTGCAAATGAAGAGTTGCGAACACCATATCTTTGGTGCTGCGACCCGAAAGGAGTCCGCACTGATCTTCCGACGCCCACTAAGCCCGTCAAAGTGCAAGAAGTCTCGGAATGTCAGAGAAACCACCGCTTCGCGGATGGCCTGTAACGTAGTATCCGCAAAAGCGATTGTACGCTCATGTTAGGTACACATTAGATGAATGAGGACTGTCAGACAAGTGAAGGGAAATCCTTGATGCAAAGCCGTCCAACTATCAGAGCTTCAGTATTGAGCTTTCGATTAACAGGATGAAGCGACTAAACTCCGGGATATTATAGAATTATTAAGAAACAAGCTGACCTTCATAACGGCACCAGATAGCAAGCACGGTGTTGAAAAGTAATAGAAAAAGTAAGTCGACCACTCACCACGGAGCACACGCATCCTCTGGCACTGTGTTGTAGCCTACTTCACCATTACACTGCCCAAGACGGTCCAATGAGTGAGAATGTACCTTCGGGAATCTGTCAATCGGTCGAGAGGCGGGCTGCTCTTCAGCGCTTGCAGCTGGCTCACTGGTAGAGAAGCCTGAAGCTCTGGAAACCGTTGGTTCAAAGCGGGGAGTGGATGTTATGCAGCTTGACCAAGTGGATGAAGCAGCAGTGCTCATCAAAGCGGGACAGAGACCAGGCACTTCCACGAGTGTTGCAAGGGGGAGAGGCACAGTTGAGTGGGGCAATGGTGAGCTGGAGCGGCGGCATCGTGCAGATGGTGAAGAAACTCGATTGAGCAAATCAGTACCGCCCAGCTTGCAAAGGTAGGAATCCATAAGATTGCGCTCCACTTGCAAGCGTGAAGCGGAGTCCTCAGAACCAAACCTGTGCAAAGAGGCCGATGACATTAAGGATGTTACAGACCAAGCAATTTGTCAGGCAATGTAAGAAACGACATAGATATTGGAAAAGCGACAGAAGGTAGATCGAGACAGACATCTTGTGGCTAAAGCCAGTGGTTTTCAACATTCAAAGTTATGACTCTAGGTATTGCATTGGAAATTTTGCTGCTGAGATGTTAACATAAATAGTAAAAAAGCAAAAGAAGTCTCTACCACATGAACAGATAAGATTCACTCAGTGATACTGTAACGACTCATGGGTTTCACAAGCAAAAGATAAAGGCACAAACAACCGAAGCAAAGATCAAGCCTAAACACCGGAACAACTAAACCAACACATCAGTTGCATCCGTTACCTGTTGACGACTGCGAACAGAAGAAGGATGTCTTTGGTATAATGGAGACAGCACGTAGCATGCGCCGCGCCTAAGATACACAGACTGTCAAAGGTAGGTAGGAGAGATATCAAAGTAGCTGAACATCTGCGAAACAAAGCGTTCCGTCGTAGCACCATTGTACCAAGATGGCGTCACTGTGTGAGGCAAGTGAGCGATATGTAATACAACGTCGATGACTATGCAAAAGTCCTGTATCTCAGTCCTCCAGTCACGTTTATCAGCTACTTCCTTTAGTGCCCTTCATATATGTAGACGCAGTATTTTACGGTGACCACCTGTCACATTTCTTAGTTAACTGTCTGTTGGTCAGACGTTGCTGCAGTAGCCTCCAGACAACTGGGTCACACTCCTATCTTCCCATTTCCAGATTACACATCTACTTCTTTCTGCAAAAAATGTGCTCAAGTATGGGTAATATTCATATGCTGTGCCATCAAACTCGATGCAATACAGGGCAATTTTTTCACATTTCCTAAAGATTTCTTTAACTTTACACACATGCAGTCCTGGATGAGTTCACAACGATGAAAATGTCAATCTTTTACACAGATAAGCTGCGATCACTCACCACACAAATTACCACTATTTAATCAGGGGAGCGTGTGACTCAAATCTGTCGTCTTACGTGTATATAGCTTTAAATAACATAATTTCGAAGAAAAATGCCACTTGGTGTGCTATTACAAGTCATTTCATTATCGGATGGATTATTTGTTTCTGAAAAAAGCTTCATAGGACCTTCCCACCGTTTGGTTAGACAGGTCGTTGCAACTTGTTCTCCAGTGTTTATTAGTTCCGCTCTATTCATGTTGTTGGCCCCTAGTGGATGCTGCTGAGGACAACCCCGACGCAGTAAACCAAGAAGGAAATATGTGCGGATCGACCGTTCGTCATTTCTGCAATTTGATCTTTGGTTGACATCAGTGTCACAATGTAAACAATAAAACGTCTTGTGTGTTGCGTACATTCTAGCAACGGCGCTGGAATCAAGCAGAATTTCTAGAAGCTCCCGAATCTGTGCAGATATCAGATCTCAGAGGAAGAGTTGTACCGAGTTTCTTCGAGAACTACACAGCCTTATCATTGTCACACCGCAGATGGTCAAAATCTGGATGAATGAAATCAGGAGGCATGAGGCTGTGGATCACGGTTGCGTCGGGACAATGCCGTACTATGCCAACAAGCAGCAAGTTGATGGAGATACAAGCGCTCTCGCATAATGGCAACGTCGAGATCTTGGGTACAAAATGTACAACATATGGTTTGCAGGTCTCTGGCTCGGGAATGCTCAGTGCCCACTGATGCGCGCCTTAAGGATCACAAGCTCACTTAGTGGTCCGAGGGCGTGGGTTCGATCTTGCGGAGGGACCGGGCGACCCACGCACGACCCTCGTGCGACTACTGGTGCTTACGCGGTAGTGAAGCATCAGTACTGCGTATCGACGTACTGCTGATGTCTGTCCTGTCTGGTGGCTACTTGCTGGCAAGGATAAGAAGCAAACGCGCCAGACTATAGCCAGGTAGTGTTAGATTTCATTATCGTACAAATACTCAAAACTGTCACGGCAACAAAGAGAGCGCAACCCATGCCCCTCGACAGCAATCATCAAGCTTCAACTAGTGAAGGAAGGAAAAGGAGATAAACTATGTGAAAAGACTGATACCTGGAATAATCAGACATGTCCCACATGGATCCGGAACAAAAGCACATAGGAGAAGGAAGTAGTTTCAAGCATACATGCAAAGTAGGACTGCAGCGATGAGGCATAGAGTACAGTAGTCCACCCTCGGCAGGCCGTTGTATAACTAAACGAAAGAATGCAGTTACTTTCATGCTAAACTTGTTGAACATTTACGGTAAAATTTCAATGGAAAATAGTTCTGAGAGAAGGGTGGATAACAATCCCTCTGGGCCGTCCATACATGTTTCATCTCATCAAACCTTTTCATTGGAAATCTAAGAACAGACAATCGGAAGGAATTATGCTAAATGTCTCTACGTTGAGTAACGTAGGAAAGATGTACACACAGATGAGATCGATGCGGCTGCCTTCTAGGTTTGTACTTCCGTTGATCAATTGCTCTATCTTTCTGAAGCACCAGGGCCAAACGAACATCTGCAGCCATGAATGGTCACACAAGCATACCTGCAATTTCAATGCTCCTCCAACAGCATTCATCTTCTTGAAATGGAACTTACGCTTGGTCCACGTAACACTTCCGAAAGGCGGATCCACCTGGGTGCACTTGGATGCGCGACAATGACAGTTCGGACATATGTCAAGACTGCAGTGTTGTCCATACAGGTAACTTGTAACCACACGAGCATTGAGAACAGGTACGGTCAATACTGTAGACAATAAGAATTGTTTGAAAACGCATAACTTAGTGGCTCTGAGTAAAGTGAACTTCGCAAGCCAATCGGTTCCGAGTAGATTAATATCGGTACAGAGGGCTGGATAGATAGTTTCATAGAATTGCAAATCCTTGAGTCTGCGTTCACAGGCGATTCTCCCTTTCAGCTGCAGAGATACTGCTGAAAAATTTTCAGCCGTCAGAATTATAGGTTAAACTACCCGATGTTCCAGGGTCAATACAAATAATGGTCTTGGTTGTATGCACCGTTTTCTAACCGCAGCGATACCGTAACATTGTTACGTTTCACTGTAGAGTGTTTTCTCTTCCCGGAAAAGTCTGTGCGAAGTACTGTGCGAAGTCCCCTCCCTCGCTGTGCCACGAAACCTGTCACATTTAAATTTGGAGCTGGCTTGCAGCCGTGGAGCATGCACGCCTTTTGATAGTGATGAGTTTTGTGGGCGCAATTTCACGCAGAATGCCTCTCACCACCGTTCCAAGACGCAGTCAGAGGTTTCCGGTCCGACACATCGCGATTCACATTTTGGACATGAAGAGCTATGTGACAGAACTGGAGTCCTCCCCTCTGGGACCTGAAGCTTCAACGATTTTTGGGTCATTGTTCAAACTGAGTAGCCTGTGACATGCAGATGCTACCTCCTGTGCAGTCAGCCTCGATTCCTGTTCCTATGCAACTTGGATGTTCAGTATTTGTGTGACAGCAGCTCAATTAAGTGTCGCTGAGAATTATCAAACTGAAATCACTGCCGCTGCCGAAGGAGGGTGTGCATTTGCTCAAATGAAATAGCTATGATTGTGCATCGCACCACATCGGTCGCCACAGAATGTCGGGCCCCGCGACTGCTTCTACAAACAATAACAGTGGCGAGAACACGACCAACCAATGACAAGAATAATTCAAGGGTGCTTTCAAATAGTGAGCCCACTTCGTTATATATAGCATGAAGCACATGCGTGAAGGCGAACCAGTGTGGAAAGCGTGCGAACAAGTAAAGCCGATAAATAGTGAACGAATAACTAAGGAACCAATCATTTACACAAAAAGAACGGGAAGTGAGTGTTAGCGTCAGAGTAGGGCTGCGATCTGAAGGCAAATTAACGACCCCAAATAGTAAATAGGGGAAACAAAAGGATACGTAAAAACAAAAGTCAGTGAACCGGCAGAGCATAGCGTCTGCGTTCATGAACGATTACACAAGTACACCTGCATGTATATCGCTCGTCTAGCACTTCCCCACTGACTCTTTTCCCGAGACATAGAAATGAAAAAGAATTACCTGGCAAGTGAGCAAACTATTCTAAGGACACTGAATGTGGTGCGTTTGCAGTTCACCTAGCCTATCCCGTCATTAATCCAATGAATTTGTGTGTTGCTGGCTCTAAGCACTGTTCGCGTTAGGAAAGCACCCGTCATTTCTAGGTAGTGAAACTGTGATCTGAACACATGACAAGTGCACGAGATTCGAACTCATGGGGACCGAGGTGACCGAAGTTCATTTGAAGTGAAATCGTGCTCCTGACAGTGATTGCGTGTCGCCCAACTATTTACACAGCGAGTGTCTTAGAGATAACCCTCCGAAGAGTCAAGCGTTGTCTGCCATTGTGACTTGGAAGTAGAGGTTTCGTCTCAAATCCCCAAAATTACGGGTTCGAGACAGGCCGTGGAGTAGACAGAGGGCAACAACTAACATTCGTCCGCAGTAATTCAGCGAACTGGATACATGTTCAGACCATCCTTACCCTCATCATGACAAATTAGCTGAAGGTGAAAAACAGACTTCAAATATTGTGCTACGAAAGATAAAGATATAGGAAAAAGCAATATAAGCATTATGGGATGCAAAAGAAACAGGCAAGACACGTTTTAGTAACATATTATGCTTCAGGAGGGGATTGCAGTTGGAATATGAAAGTAGGCTGGATGAGGAGGGACAGAAACTCACAAAACAAAAGCTAGTGAGGTCGGCTCTTTGCCATATCAACTAGTGTATCCAAACAGACGCGTTCACCGTCTTTCGGACCCCATTCCAGGTGCACCAAATGGCGCCAAATTCGGAGTGAGGGTCGGCATTCCTCTTGACCAGGTCATCGCTTGATTTCCACTCCACTTCTTTCATCCACATTCCCGGCGTGCGAACAACGCATGTCGGGGGAGTCGGTCGGCTGGCATGCGCACGCAACACGTGGCCCAGCCACCGGAGCCTGGTGT